TTAATTAATAATTTTTACAACAAGTTATGTAGTTTCAAAAGAAGTAAGAGAAAATAAATGGGTTCCATCTTACCTATCAAAACTCTAAGCATTCCTTGCCTAAATTTTTTTCATTTGGGTTTCCATAACTTGTTAAATCGTTCAAATTCTATTTTGTGCAAATTGAATATGACAAATAGTAAGATATATGTGTATATTGAAAAGTAATTTATTTATTGATGAATATGATCACTTTTATATATACACATTTATATTTAGGATATAGAATCTCAAAAATTGGTAATTTTTATTATATTCTTATTTTATAAAATATATTATTATAAATACAGGGAAAACTCTAAAAGTTTATTAACATTTTAGGAACAGACTTAAAAAGTTCATTTAAGACATTTTGATTTGGTGGAATATCTTTATTATTAATTTTAAAAAAATATTTTAATATAAATTGAAGTTATTAGTTTATATAGTAATATAAATTTTTAAAACATTTAGAGATTTAAAATTTTTGCTATATCTGGGTTACTTTAGAAAATTTGGAAATTTTGTGAAAAAAAACTTTTAAAATTTGCGGAAATTGATTTTTCTTAAAATTTTTATTTATTAATACTATTATTAGAAAAATTCATAATAATAAATTTTTAAAATATAAATAAGTATATAATATACCATACAATGTCTATAAATTAAATTTAGCATATAGGCTAAATATTATTGAGATGAATTTCAAAGAAGGAACAAATAGTTCATGTCTTAATTTTTAAATTTTGCAGAAGAAAAAAGGAGTTCTCTCTTTTTCAGTTGTTTTGTTTCATTATTTCATTTTGTACTCCAGTACTTTAAAAAAATTTAATTATTATTATGATGAAAAATAATTGGCGAACAAATATTGTAGTAAAAATGTTATTTTTGACTGAGTTTATTATTTTATAAAATTAGACATATTAGTCTTGGTATTTTTTTACGATAGGAACATATACTAATAAGATGCATGATGATATATAAACTTTCTATAAATATGGAACCATAAAATTTAGCCTTAAAAAACTAAGTCCATGTAAATTAGTATTAGAATTTAACATCGATAGTTACTATGCTTATAGGATATATATTTTATTGAATTAATTTGTATAGTTAAAAAACTAGATTTGCGTCAATTTTAATAAAAGGGATTAAGATTTAGCCAATAATTGTGAGCCTAGAGATCTTTCTAGATGGCAGAAAGGTTTGCACGTTTTATTAATTCTGAGACTTACATAATATTTTAATCTTAATCGGCCGTTTTTAAAAATCAACTCAAATTGGGCTTTTTAAGTACACAAATATTAATGGGTCTTAAGCATAAATATTGAATAAACCAAGAGGTAAAGAAGAAGGGTGTTAAAATTCTTCAATTATTTTAAACAGCATTTTTTAATGATATTTAGTCATTTGGTCTGAAAATTCTATTATTTTATACCTATTATTATTTTTATAATTGCTCAGTCTTAAGAGCAAAAATATTTTTCTCTATGGTGAATTTTTTCTGATTAAGAATTATTGAACAACAAATATTTTAAGTTTCACTGCTATCTAATGATGTTAACCAATAAATATTTAAAATGTCAATTTTGATATTTTTAAATATCAAGTCAGCAAACAGTTTATCTTAAAATTATCAAGCATATAATTATTAATTTTTAATAAATTAATGTAAACGGCTTAATTAAAACTAACATTATTTTTCTATTTAAATTACGCTAAATAAATTTCAAAAAAAAAGACACATTATTTTTTTAGAATTTCGTTAAATCGCATGATTAACAAATTTGTTTATTACATCGCCAAAATTATATTTTTAAATTTATAAAGATAAATAATATTTTACAATAAATTATTATCTTTATCTAAAAATCATTTGTATTAATTGGAATAACATCTTTAAACTTATAATAAAAATGCTAAAATATACCCTCCCTTTATTTTTATTTGGCTCAAATTATCTTGCCCCAAGATGAAATTTTTTTCTCTTTAAAAATATTGAAAATTTCAAACAATTATGTTTTTGACCGAATTAAAATTTATGGGTAATAAACAAATATTACAGAAATTTTGAGAATAGTTTGAAATTGATAGCTCTAATTTTTTATTGAACAAAGGGGAATCTAAGTAAATAGTTATAACCTTATATGCAACAAGAAAGAAATCTCACAATTGATATTGAATATATCAATTTTGAACATTGATTTCTATTATATATTAAAAAATAGACTTAATTATTTAAAGATCATATTGTTTTTATTCTATTACAAAATAATCCATGATTTAGAAGGTGTTTTTTTTTATTATAATTAGAAAAAGCAGAAAATTTATTTTTTATTTATTTGTGAAATGTTAAGAATTTTCGGCAAACTTTAAATTTTATATTGGGAGAATTTCAATAATTTTCTGAGAAAATAAAAGTTATTTTACAAGTCTATTCTTTCAACAATATATTTAACACTCTCTTAGATCTGAGCTATCACAAAGAAACGCCTTCCCTTGTTAGTTTTAATTTCTCGGTACCTTTCGATCACTTAGTGCAAACCTATATGATGGACATACTGACAATGACAAGATACGATGGAAAAATAACGAAAATAAGAGAATCTAGAAAAGTAAATAAATCAAATAAAATAAATGACTTATTTTCACATACAATATATGAAATGGTTTTTGACATTTTTAATTTTCTTGTTTATTTTTTTTTCCTTACTCATTTAATCAAAAATATATTGAAGATTTTAGATAAAAAAAATATTTATTTTGATAACTCGTTGTTTAGGCTTATATATAAAAAGAAAATTTAATGATTAACATGTTTTCTTCCCTGCATTGGTGGCTTAAATTTGATCCTTTTGAATAGCGAATAATTTCCAGTATACCTAAAAACTGAACAATTTAATTTTTTTATAGAAATTCTTAGCTCATTTTAAAAACTTTCAGTTATCCATTATCAAACCTAGTTAAAATCGGAGAAACAACAGATTTACGATTTTTAAGAGAGCTCGGATTTAAATTTTAACTCCAATTTAATTCATTTATATAAAATAATGCAAAATATTCACATATACACGATTTATTGTTTATGAAAAATATAAGTTGTTGGCATCTATTATTGATATTATTAGTGTCCTATACTATATGGTCTGCATCAATACCCTATAATATATCTTACATAAATTTTTCAATTAATATTTATTTAATCGCATTACTAACTATAAATTTACACATTGAAATTTCCATTGAAAAATTCTGTTGTAATTAATACATTAATAATACAAGTAATAATTCAATTGAAAATAACAGATATAAAATCCATTGAAAATAACAGATCTAAAATCCATTGAAAATAAAGGATATCAAATCCATCGAAATAAAAAATATATAAAATGATAAAACATCTTAGCAAAATGGGTATATTCAAATTGCAACAAAAGCAGAATCAATACCTCTATCTGAGTTCAGTGTGTCACACAATTAACAAAACTTCCCACTTTTACAGTGTAGCTCTATTGCCTATATCTAAACCATCCTTATCAACTTTATCATTATTGTGAATTTCTTTCCCGCATGTTAGGTAGATAAATGCCGTGCTTGTTCTATCATCTCCTTTTTTTACCATTGCCTTTTTATGCTCCCATTTGTGACAGCTGGTCTCTGAATTAAATTTATTGCAGCTTCCCATGTATACATGGCCAAGTGTCTGTTTCTTCTAAATTTTCTAATCAATTTTCTCCATTCTTCACCTTAGCGTTTTTTCGTTCACTAAACACTCTGCAAACATAACCGTATCAGATATAATTATGTTCATTAACTTTGTTTCACTTCTTGCCAGCAATACAAGATTATCAGCATAGGCGTATACGGAAAGGGGAAGGTCAATGGATAATTTCTCTCATTCAAAAATTTGTCTGATATTATAAACATCACTTTAAGGTAATAAAAAAAATTTCTTCCTAAGCACCCCGCCCAACACTTTCTTACAAAAAATGTTAATAATAGATCCTCCTTTCTATCTGATGACAATTTGTTTTTTTTTTCTCTATCTAATTCCAGATCATCAATATTGCTATCATTATCATTATTATCGCTATAACCAGTAGATATTGTCGTAGCCTCCAAATTGTAAATAATGGAGTTTTGGGTATATAAATTTTTGATGGTCTTTAGCCAATTTTTCTGCTCAATACTCAATAAAACTTGATATAGAGGGTCTAAATATATTGAAGCGTATACAACACTATTTTGCAAATATTACTTTCGAATTTTCATATTTTCTAATATTTCCTATGAAAAAGAACTTGTAAATCTTTCTATATCTAATAGACATCTAATCCATATGCCATAAAAATCAGATAGATATAATTGTTCTGATTTAATATTTTTAAAGGAACTAACACAATAGTAAGGTCATGTATTTGATTCCAATCATCTTTCGACAAAATGACTCACATGATCTTATAATAAAATCATTACAGAAATCTTTCAAACTTAATAATTGCTCTGTGTTGTGCAATCTAATATTGTCATTAAAATTTTCATAGATTATAACATTCTTACAATTTTGGGAGTTCTTAAATATTTTACAACATCCCTTGCTTTATCAATTATAGTTTTAAAGTGATTATTTTAAAAAAAATATATTTATACCCTTGAACCTTCCACTATTAAAAGGGGTCCGGGTTCAGCCAAAATACGAAGGTTCAGGGTCCGGATTCGGGTTCACATCCCTGCTTTATTCTTAATTTCTTGGAAAAAATTATTTATGTTTTGAAATCTAATGTTTCCAAATTTTTACACAAGAATTAAAGTTTATATGTTCTGTTTTGTTAATGACTGCTATCATTTATATAATTGCCTTTCACTTGATATATGCAGACCTTGTGGGGAAATGGGGGTGCAGCTACTAACCGTCAAGTCAGATCTATTTTTATTGGACATTTATTTTTGATAACCAATTAAAAGAGCGGTTTATTTTTGAATTGAATTATATTAACACCATTTTGTTTATAAATATTTTATGTTTATTTCATGATAAAAAATATTAATAATATGCTAAAATACTATTATAAACTTCTTTGAAAAATTTCTGGTATAGGATGTCTATTTTCTTTAAATAAATGGTTACACTGGCCCCCATTTCTCCCCGCTCACTACATCCAATAATATAAATAATTGTAAAATAAATTACTTTTATTATTTACTTTCTAGGTTTAAAAAATTTTAATTATTATTGTTTGTTTTTTTCAAATCAAGTTCACAAATTTGCCTTTCAAATACAATTTCTCCCAACAAGGTAACTACAAGCTGAGTTTTCAATATAAGATATGCAATCGCTGGGTCAAAAGTTTGGAAACTATTGAATATATCAGAATAGGTATAAACATTTTATTCATTAATAAAAATATATGAATAGATTTTGAGGTGTGTTTATCCTATCCTCATTTAGGCTAAGTTATTTTACAAATAACCATAATTTTGCTTAGTACATTTAAGTTTATTCCCTAAGTAGCACCAGATATTCAAATTTCATAGCAATGGGATAAATATATTATTAATTGAGAAAATAAACAATTCAATTGTAGTATTAATCAAATGAGCACCTGTACCTTAAACAAGAATAAGAAATGAGGAATTCCAAAGTTGTATTATCGTGAAAATAATATTATCAAACATATATTGTCATCATGTTTAAAAAACTAAAATAATTTGTTGCAGTAACTCAATAAAAAAAATTTTTTAATTTATAGACATAAACTTGAGAAATCAAATCTGAATGCTTTTTCAAACCTGGCAAATATTCCATAAAAAATTTATGGTACACATACTATAATAAGGCTTTAATTGAAAATATTTATTTACTTAATCAGTATTAATTAGTCCCATTATTTGTCATATAAACTAAAAAAAATTAAGGGATTTTAAATGAACATATAAATAGATTGTATGGTTTAGAAGAATTTGAAGAGAGCAAATTTATGTTAAAAACTTCATAAGTCAAACAAAATTTTATGTTTTTCAATTAAAATAGTAAATTGTCTAGATGATGAGCCTGTCAATATCACTTAGAAAATTATTTTTTATATTAATTCGTATATTATTGGTAATACCAATATATATAATTCAAGAAGGGGGTGGTAAAAGGTGCTAGAAATTTATTATCTTTATTTATATATATCCTCTTTCTTTTTATTGGCCTTAAATCCTCTTTAGCCCTCTATTCTGCAGGATGTCTCTAGATTTATATATTTTTACTATAATTAATTTTATATATATATTAACTAATTAAAATAATATCTAACACTAAATACCTAAATTAACCTCATATATCAGAAAATATTAGAAAATATTTTTAACGAGTTCATTTCAGAATTAAAATGGGGCGTAATTTATTTTGGAAAATCAACGTTTAAGTTATTTATTATTATTTTAATTACTATTTAAATTTGTATTTACGAATAATATAATAATTAAATTTTTTTAAGTTAAATAAAACAGACCTTAACCATAAAATAATCAAAATCTTGTGGTAATATATAATTTATCAATGTATATACAATGATTTCAATAATAGTTAGACTATCCTGATGATGAAGCCGGTCTATAGTTACGAAATTGATATCATGTATGTACAAAAAAATATTCTAATATCTATATAAATAAATTTAATTAGTAATTTAAAAATACTAAAATTCACTTATATTAATAATAAAAAAAATTTATTAACTTGTTGGTTTGCCGAAAAATGAATTACAATGACATAAACACCACTTAATACGTCAAATAAATAATTAACCTTAACCATGTATTTTGCATCATATATTTTTTTGCTTAAAGCGAAAATGAAAAATAATATTTATTGAAAATACAACTTAAAATTTTTAAGATTGCTATTTACTGAGGGCTAATTATTTAAAAAAACAGGTGCTAATCCATTTTTAAAATTAGGCTAATTTTTGAAAAGAGATTGCATTATCACCCAAAGCACCTAGTGAGCGACACCCCATACTAATTACGATATTATAAGGGTTTATACCTGATTTTCAGTATTGCCAGTAATATATAAGTATATTAACAACTGTTTTTCTTAGAATAATGAAACATTGTTTTAAAAATTAATAGTCCCTTCTTAAGTTCAATAACATTAGACTTAATATTATAATAAACTGCTTAAGTCTGCATATATAGTGGAAAACGATGCCATGTGATTTATAAGCTGTAGTACGTAAATATTTACAATGAAATTGTGTTTTCTTTATTAATATTAATTTAATAATTAATTCTATGAATGATAATTTAAGAATTATTAAATATTCATAAAGTTGTTTTTTTTTACATAATTTACCTTAAAAATGTAATATTATTTAAATTGTTAAAAATTATAATAATAAATCTGTTTATGCTTACTAACCCTGTTGTTCACTTAACTCAACCTCATTTGATATTTAATTTAGATTAATTATTATTTACACCTGCTAATTATCTTATATTTATTTTAGTCATGAACCTTTAATATACATAAATAAAGATATCGAAACAAAATTTCTTTTTAAATTTATCTATTATAAAATATAACTAACTGACTGTTATCCTAATAAATTCTATATATACTTTTCAAAAGTATATAACAATCAGGGTTGGGCAGTATCGCGTTGTATCTAAGATACAAGATACTTTTGTATCTTGTATCTTTTTTAAAATTTTGGAAAGTATTTTGTATCCCTAAGAAACATATTATTTAAAAGTATTTGTATCTTAACCAACTTTGTATTCAAAAAGAAATTTATTGATTAATTTAAAGAGTATTAAAATTTAAAATGATATTGTTTTAAAATTTAAATGAAAAATTTAATCAAAATTTAGATATTTTAAGATAATTTTTGATATATGACGTTGGTCGTCATATAGCAATTTGCTAACAATTAGAACTACCATATTTGAATCGTTTTATATCTGTCTATTTTAAAATTATGGAAGAAGAAAATAGAATAATATGTTTATCTTCGTCTTCAGATGATTCTTCAACCGAAAATTATAACAATAAATTTATACTAAGCATACTTAATGACAAATTTTTTGAAGTACTTCAAGATGATCATAATAAAGAAATTCATCGTGACTTTGGTATTGAAGAAAAAGTTATAGCAACTGTTACAGATAACGGCTCTAACTTTAAGAAAGCTTTCAAGGAGTTTGGATATTCTTGGAAGCTGTAGAGAATGACTTTGACATCAATGATGATGAATGTATAGAATTCAAAATCATTGAAAGTATTATTTAATACTTCTTTAAAATTTATTATGATATTGTAAATTTAGTAAAAAAATTTATTCAAATAAAATTATTTATTTGTTTATTTAAGGGTCTAAAGAAGCCTCAATAACATTGCCTCAACACATTCGTTGTATGTGCCATACGATAAGTCTAATTGCCACAACAGATGTCGAGAGAGCTATTTAGGATTCTCCTAACATTTCTAAAATTCATCATCCTGCAATAGCTAAATGCACTAAGCTATGGAATGCAAATAATAGGCCTAAAACTGCAGAACTTATCAAAGCAGTTTTAGGAAAACAATTAGTTACACCTTGTTGCACTAGATGGAATAGTTTGTATGATAGTCTTCATAGTTTATTAAAATTTAAAGAAATTATGTCAAAAATTAGAATTTCCTAAATTAAGAGATATTGAAATTCAATATTTAGAAGAATATTGCAATATAATGGCCCCATTGGCTAAAGCGATTGACAAAATACAGAGTGAAATCAACTGCTATTATGGAGAATCAGCTCCAATTTTAAATGTTAAAAAAAAATTACAAATTTAATTCAAAGCATTCTACAATTTTGCAAACCATTAGCTATTGTCATAGAAAATTATTTAAATAAAAGATTTAAAAATATATATGATTTTGATAATAATTTTAAAAGTGCATTTTTGGCAAATATTCTCATCCCTATTTTAAAAATCGTTGGATTGATGGTGAAAAAGAAAAAAAATACCTTCAGGATTTGTTATTACATGAAGTTTTAATTGTTTTTAAAAATAATATTGAAATTAATACTTCAACAAAATCTTCAATTGATGAAGATAATGATTACTTTTGCCTTAAAAGTACCACATCCAATTCTAATAATTCAATAAATGATATTGAAATAGAGGTCCTAAATTATATGAAAGATGACAGGCGGAGTATAAATATGTTAAATAGTTATAAATATATAAAAGAAATATTTATTAAATATAACACAATATTACCCTCCTCAGTCCCCGTTGAAACATTATTTAGCTTTGCTAATATGGTTAATAGACCAAATTGTCAAAGATTGAACGATAAATCATTTGAAAAATTAATAATATTAAAAAATAATGCTGATTATTATTATTTACTAATTATATAATTATTAAATGGAATATCGCATTATCTTTTATAATAAATTTGTTATTTTCTACAATTTATTTTAAATATTTTTTTATAAATTTATATTATAGATAAGAAAATAAAGCTTTATACTTGATTTTGACTATTTAAAGTTTTTTAAAAAAGTATCTTGTATCTTAGATACTTTTTTTAAAAAAATACAAGTATCTTGTATCTTATATCTTATTGAAGTTTTTCTAAAGTATCTAGAATCTTGTATCTTAAATACAAAATTTTATAAAGAATCTGTATCCGAATACAATTTTCTGAAAATTTGCCCAACCCTGATAACAATCAATGTAACTATTAGACTAATATTTTGTTAAGTTAAAGAAATAATACAAGTCCGTAAGGTAAAATTTAAGTTAATATAATTTAAAATAAAATTCAAATATATTAACATATAGGTTTTTTTTATGTTGCCTATCTTAATGCAAGGTGGTTCTAATTGCACTTTTAAAATGTAAAGCCTTTAAAACAGCTTATAGCCAGAATCACATTTTGGAGGAATAGTTTAAAATCGATTGTGCTTTATTTCCCAAAGGGTGGAGGGAAGCATAGAAAAAATTGAAACTACGCTCTATTCAAGGGAATTAAATATAAAAAAAAGGAAAACAATTACATAGGCTTAATATCAAAATAAAAAAGAGAAAGCTCAAATAACTCAAAATTTAACTATTGGTATAAAAACAATTATAATAACTTAAACAGATTGATTGCTAAGTCTGAACCTTAGTTAACAGTGTAAAATTGTTTATTATAATTAAAAAAAATTATTAACCAAAAATGAAGATTTATCTCCCAAAAAATACCTATAGAAATAGGTGGCTATTACAATCAAAATATATATTTAAAATATTCATAGAAAATGATAAAGAAAAAGAAATAATTATTTGATTTTAAATAGAAAATTAGCCAATAAAATAGAAGCAAATTATACTTAAACTGCTATAAAAAAATTCAAACAATAAGAATATGAATATGAGGATGATTCAATTCTTATTATAAAATACTAGTAAAAGTTAAAATTTCAAGACTTAAATTTAATTTTTTTTTCTTTAATATTGTTTATCTTCTTTTAACTAGAGATCTTATTATTGAAAAAAAAACTAGCACAATCAAAAATGGATTAAAAAATATTAAAATCATTTATAAATCTTGCGCACTAATCTGATTATTATACTATTAAAAATAGATTCAGATTTCATAGTATTCGCCAATCTATCTACTTATAAAAATAAACGAAGCTTACTCCTAATGGTTTTTCCAAGAAATTTAAAAGGTAAATTTAAATACTATTTTCTTTCTTTTTCAAGATAAATGATAATAATGTTTTAAATTGAATTACTATGTATTTCTCTATCTATGATATAGTTTTAGTTTTTCATACAATTAATAAAGCAAAAATATCTTTATTAATAAATCATAATTTAATACTAAACATCTCATATAGACTAATTCTAACCCACGGAAGGCTCCTAATTTTTTTTTCAATAAGATCTTACTTTATGGTTTTCAATTTATAACAAACCCAAAATTATTGACATAGTTTTTTATAAATATTTTTTACAAAATTTTTGCATCATGATAGATATTGAAAAATTATTACTAGTGTTTCTAAAAAACCCGATTTTCTTAATTTTTAAAGGTCTGGTTTATATTTTATCTAGAATAATATTATGTAAGAGATTTGGCAAATAGAAGTGCATACCTTTCTGCTATCTATGAGAAAAATTTTCAGGTTTAAATAATATTATTTTGGCTAAAATTTCAATTTGATCCTTTTAAAATTGATATAAATTGGGCGTTTTAACAACACTATTTATCATCATTAAATTGTTTTTTATTTAAGCTTAACTTTGTTATGAAATGCAGAGCTTTGTAGCTATGTTTTAAAAAAAAATTTTACCAGAAGAGGCTATCAAAAACGGAAGTATTTTAAAACGTGACAGCAGAATAAATATAGTTATGATGGCGTATCATCATATTGCCAAAATAACCGAAGGTTGTATTTCAAATTTTTATTAATAATATTTTCACCTAATTATATAAAGTATTTTAATCATAATTGAAATAAATTTAAGTATAAATGAAAAATAGTGATGAGAAGTTAAAATTCTTAAAATAAATTAGCTAAATTCTTTTTAAACATATTTGGTGATTTTTTAAAATGAATATATTTTTAAAAATTATATAGCACGGAAGAATATAACTTATATAATTTTATATAAAACTGCCCAAATGATAAAGCCTCGCATTAAATGTGTATTCAACCAGGAATCTAAAATGAAAAGTATATTTAATTGAGTGAGATTAGAATATTAAGTATAGTTTCAGAAGGAATCTATTATTTTAAATATGCAAATTATATTTTTCGAAATTTTAAAAGTTAAATATTTTTTTTTATTCAAATGTAATATTTTATTTAGAACCAAGAGTCATTCGTAGAATGAGCTTCGGTAAATTTTATAATATATCCAAATATTAAACTTGTTTTTTTACTTTTAACCCAAATATTATAGACAATATTCAGAAATTTTTGCAAACAATAGAAGGTATAATTATATCATAAACCCCTAATTTTTAGAAACTTTAGTGATAACAGAATAAAATTAAATTGAAACTTATCACTTCCTTTTAACCTTTCAATCTCCAGTGAGATTTATGAGACACCAAGCTTGTTAAAATTAATTAATATTATATATAAAAAGTTAGTTAATATAGAATCTCAGGAAGGTTTTTACCTATGCCAACGATTTGTAGGTCTGATAGCATATCAATCCACGGTGCCATTTTATATACATTACATTTATTTATTTTCAATAAAAAATTCTCACTATGAAAAAAAAAAATTATTTAAAAAATTTATCTTGGAATCCAAATTTTATCTATTTTTTTGGTTCAGTCGTTTTTTAAGTATAAGATTTTCGCTAATGATCTGAACTGTGAAACTCTACCAAATCAATTACATAAATTTTAAATAAAATTCTCATTTTTAATTATTACTAATATATAAATATGCTATTATAATATAAAATTTCTTAGACAAAATTTAAATATATTATTTTGTTGAGATATTATTTTGTGGATTCCTAAACATAATCTTGAAAAACATACAGGTAACTAAACCTAAATATCCCTATAAGTTAGAAATCGACCCACTCCATATTCTAAACATTGGCATTTAAAAATTTTTTAATTTTTATTTAAATCTTATTTTATATTAAAATAAATGTCACAATTATTAATTATAATAATTGTATGATAGATATTGCGCCTATAGTATTTTTTTTAATTATATTTACATAAAAATTTATATAATATTTATGAAAATCTTTACATTTGCTGTTTTATTATAGGAGAGGATATTTCTGTTTTCAATGAAGGTTAAATCATTCAATTCTTTTCACAAAATTAATATAACATTTACACATGCATATTTTATATTAATAATTTTAGATTTTAATGATTTTGCTATGGATTTGGCTATGGATTTAGAACTGGATGATCCATTAGGTTTATTCGAATATTGGGATATATAATTTACATTACAAACTTAAGATTCTTTATTTTTTTGGAAAAGAAGTATATAAAGATAAGCGACCTGAATATAAAGTTTGCTACAAATACAATCATCTCTAAAAATCATAAAGAAAATAAGCACACAATGTGGCTACTTAAAAAAAATGTTTAAAATCATTCTTTTTCCAAAAAAAATTAAATTTAAAATAATTTATATATCCTTCTGACCATTTTTATTATCTTTTAGGCCTTGGCCAATCTATTCATTTTTGATACCGATTTTCAAATTGATAAAAAATAAATTTTAAATAATATAATATTTTTTGAAAGGTTCTCAAGGTAAATAATATATTTTTATAATAAAAATTTTTTAAATTTTAAATCAATTCCTTTAAGGAACATTTATGATTGATCCTACAAGTAATTATCCTTTCAGAATAAAAAATGTTGTTTCCAAAATAAATATTTCATATAGATTTCGTTTATATAAAATTAAAGGCACTAACTTTATTAAATATATTTTGCTACTGCTCAGATGTGCAATGATTACTCAAGTTAAATGAACAAATCCAAGTGTAAACATTTTGACAAAAGATCAAGGTCTGAATTTGTGGGGATTTTTGTTTAATCCAATAACTGTGAATCTATATGTACTATGGCAAGTAAATTATAGATGTTCATATCTCTACTACAGTAGATCTTTTGGAAGATACCAGGCTATTAAAATATAGCCTTCTTTTTGCTATCATATATTATCTTTTGGTAACAAATGTGTTTACTATCTTTGAATACTATAGGAAAAAATTATTAAGTAACATGAAATGTAGAAGTGTATTTAGAAAATCGCTTTTGTTATTATATAGCACACTACTAAGAACATACACAATAACTTCAATATGTATTAACTTTTATGGCGGGAGACAAAATAAAACTTTCAAACATAAAGAATTTTAGAGAAAAAAACCCAAAATCATTAGCAACTCTCCGGGATATATACCCGAGACATAGGCCAACAAATTTAGTGGGACTTTACCTTATCGATGTTTTTATCCTCTCATAGAAATTACGATCCCTTTGGAATTCCTGTGAGGAAGAAAGCTCATAAATATTAGCACATTCTATATCGTACCAACTTCTTGATTTTTTGAAAATCAGGCCAAATCTTTTTTGTGATTCAAAGAAGTCTTAAATCTACAATCTCAAGATCATATAATTAAATAAAAAATAAGCTTTGAGATAATCCATTTTAATATTTAATTATTCAAATGTTCATGGCCATTAGAACAAGAAAACTTACATATTTGTTAAAATGTTTTAATTTTTTTTTAAATTATTCCATGTTTTTTCCCGTCTTATATATTTTTTTAAATATTTTATAAATTTAAAATTTTTAATATAGTTGCGTACATGTTATTTTTAATGTACTAATTTTAATAAATAAAAGTTTACAAAAAATTTGACGCAATAAAAATTAACAAGTGTTGCTTGAATATATAATATTCTTTTTGACCTCATTAATTATCTGATAAATATTTTAAAGACTTACTTGATAAGTGTGCTAAATTACATAAACTAACATGTTCAAGATATTTATTTAGACTGTTGAAGAAAATAAAATGTTTAGGGTCAAAAAATAATAATGCTAAAGGTTACTTTGTGCCCTAAATAATGATACAAGTAGCGATAGCTTGGGACTCATAACAAAACAAACTATGGGCTTAATTTTATAATACAGCCTGATTAAGATAAAAGCACCATAGCCTATAAGCCTAGTAAGTTATCAACCGCAGTGAAGTTCACAAATTCCACTTAAATTTATTGGGAGATTATTTTTTTACGGATAACGAACCGCTTGAGAGAACATTTGTAATAAATATAGACTTATCAAAAATTACGAATAATATATCAGTGCGATAGATACTTGCAGAGAAAAATAATTATTAAATATCTTACGAAAGCAAAAAGAAATACAGAGGCCAGATGATTTGATTTAATGTAAATAAACCGCACGTTTACAGAAAAATATTATATCTTCTAAAAACTAATTGAGATAATTTGACATGGGTGGAATAATATATAAACAATTGTACAGTGGCCAAGTGATATGGAAAAATTAAATTCCTCACCTCTTATGAAATTTGCGTGTTATCTCAAATATCATTTTAAACCTTCCTCCTAAACTCCACTCACACCCCCTCTCCCTTAAAAAATATATGAAACAATTTAAAATATTTAGAAAAATAGCATTTTTATAATAAAATAGGTGAAACCCCCCAAACTATTATTAAAAAGATGTAACATGGTCAAAGGCATGCAATATATGATCTTAAAACTCTTCAATAAAATTTTTAGCGTAAAAACTAAGTTCCCTCCACCCACTCTCTTATAAAAAATTTTATGTAAACAAAGATAACTCTTATTTCATTTATATTAACCTAAATATGTTATCTATACAGCGAAGCTAATTATGAATTTGATATATACATTCGAGTTTTTATTATATAATGGACCAAACCGAAGTTGAAAACATATAAATATTAATAATTTTCTTACATCGCAGAGGAGGAAAGTAATCAAAAATATAATAAGTTGTTAGAATTTTTGACAATGGATAGATTTTTATTATAAATTTAAATTTAAAAAACAAATATATTATATAAATAAACTAGGAATTTTTTTTAAATAGATTTTGGAAGAATTTTACTACTTTCAACAACACTAAACAACCTCTCTTTTTATATTACAATTTTGTATTCGTTGTTAAATATATCAAAAAATTTGACAATGAATCATCCGTTAATAAATAAATGAGAAAATTCATGCTGAAACAAAAAGATATTACCTTAATATTTATTATTCTATTAATTTAAAGTTGAAGAAATGAATATTAACATAGGTAAACCCAAAAAAATTACAACCAATTTAATAATCTGACCTGGCTCTAAGCCTGGGTACAAGTACTAGGCCACTTAATTATTTTTAAATCCAGGCAGGGCCAAAAATAAATTTAAAACCGGGCTAGGCAGTGCAAATGGTACCTTTGCAGGTCTCTGAGAAAAATCAAGCCTTCTGCATATTAATTATTGTAAGTTTAAATTGTTGTATATGACTAAATAATATAATATCTGCTCATTTTTTAACAAATTTGATATTAATTGAATAGAACGAAAATAATGCACTACGTTTTATTTTAAAAATTTAATTATATCAGAAAATGTGTAGCATTAATTATTTTAAATGTCTTAAGTAATTAATAATTGATAAATGTATCAAAAATAATTATATCTTCATTATCCTTAAATTGAATTAATTAAAATTTGGATATTCTCGTAAATAACTCTATATGAATTACATCGACTATATATATTTAATTTTTGGATATTCTATATCAGATATTATATTCATAAAATTTCGCTTTTATAACACTTTTTAGGAAATTCAAACACCAATCTCTTTCGTTTCTTTGGTTGAGAGTTTAGTTTAGCGAAGAAATATTTATAGGGGGTGGGTTGACTACATAAAATTTATTAAAAGGTATTATTTTGCTTACAAATAGTTAAATTTATGTTTAATTAAATCTCTTTATTATATTTGTATTATAGATATTTAAGATTTTATTTAATATTATATAAAAGTGAAGCGTAGTATTTTATAAATTAACTCTTAAGCCACTCATATAATTTTTTTTTTTTTAATTATTAAAAAACTAAAATAGTAACTGCTTTAACAATAGTCTTAGTTTTATAAATCTTAATCCTTGAGAAAGAACCTTTATTAATATAACAAAGATAAATTATGAGAAATTAGTTGTTAAATGAGATGATTTTTATAAGTAACTAAATTTATTATGAATATTTATGAAACAGTTCAAAACATTGATCAAAGTAAACTTATATGCTGGAAAATAAACATTTATTTATTAATACTTATATATTCTATATACCACATAAAATTTTTATGTTTAGCTGGTGAAAGTAAAAAAAATATTTTAATAAACCATTTCTCATTGGATTTATTTTTTCAACATTTCTTTATTAATAATTTATAATAGGATGACCAGCCTATATTATTTCTTAGCAATATTTCAATATTAAATAATTTTTATCTTTTATAATTTTTATTTATTTATCTAGTTGTTCAGTATTCTGAAGGTTCTATAAATACATTTTCCATGCTCTTAGCTAAATAATTTTGTTTTGATAATTTATCTTGGAAAGGTTTTAAACATTCTAGAATTAATATTATATCTAACTAATAAGAAAATTTATAATTTATAATATTGCCTCAATAAAAGTCAGCCACTTTAATTTTTTTGTGCATCAGTATTCTATAAGTGCTAAATTTTATTAAATGATGGCAGTGTTAAACATTGTATAGTCAACATATAGCAAATGCTAAAAACGATCAATTTTTTTGAAAATGTAATATATCCTATTTATTTTTAAATATATATTAATGAAATCACGCTGTGAAGTCCAATCTATTATATATAATCCTCCATAGGTAGGAGCCACCTAGTTAGTTTCAAAAAAAAAGATCTTTGCAGGTATTCCAACCCAGAACCATATTAAGATACATGGTATCGTATCACATTTTGGTTGGCTCAATATCGCACCATTAGATATTGAACATTAACCAATGAGCTTTCAGGACATTTTATTATAATTTTTGCCTATATAAAATATTTTAAAATATTTTTTCTATCCAATTCAGAATTTTGAAAAAACATGAAATCTAATTGTATGATGAACATTTCTAGCAAATCTATTTCTAGTTTAATTGTTTTTCAAATTTAATATATTGTAATAGTAAAACATTTATCTTTTTTTCTAATTTGTTCATTCTTTTGGTCGCTAAAGACTCGTTAAATGCGCTTACTCATTAATTAAGTATGGATTCTAATTAAAAAGCATTCTCAAATAAAATTTATTTTCTATTTAAAGATTTATAGAGCTAGAGTTTAATATATCATTTAAAAATCAAATAGCACCATTGAATATTGTTGAAAAAGATACAAAAAAATTGACAAAACTCTTATTTGTTAGGATTTTATTTCGAATAATATTAAAACAAATAATTTTAAAGACTCGTTGACACTCCTGTAGGTTGTCTTTAAATTTACTTCTGTTTGAAAAATAATAGGTTATCCATATTATAAGAAACCTTTAGTTTATATTTCGTCCATATTTAATATTAGGCGGTTTTTAGAAAATAGCTAATTCAATATTTAAATATAAATATTACCCAACTCTCGTGATTTCTTATATTTGACCTAAATTTACCTATTATATTTTTAAGCTAAAATCTAGATTTATCCGTTTTCTAAGAAAGCGCCTTAATCGGGGTTCGACAACAATAGTTATGTTATTCCGTTTTAAAATAACATTTATTGAAATTTATTAAAAAATTATATATTTTTTAAAGAATATAATAAAAAGATCAATTAAGTTGAATTTATTAAATCCTTCTATATAAATGAAAATATTTTGAATTTTTCAATATACCTATGCATTACAATTTTTTAAAAAACATAATCTGTTAATTTTCTTAAAATAGAAATTCTACATTTTCCTGAGATCTCCCAAAACTTACTCTACGCTTCGAGTTTAACAATAGAATATGGATTTATTAAGAATGATAATTAATTATTTATAAATTAATCTATACCTCTAAATATCCGCCGAAAATTTTACTAAGCACTCCTGTAAGAAACTTAGTCAATGAAAAATATCCCATTTGACAATCCACATAATATTTTAAATAATAATTATATTAGAGGGCAATAACATGATTATCTTGTTACATAAATTAGCAAAAATTAATTTTCAATATTTTGGTATTATATAGCTAGTGAAAAATATGCTACATTTAAAAAAAATATTTCAAAGACGAATCTTGTGGAATTTACCTTTTCAAAATTTTGTTCTCCCGAGGAATAATAAAACTTATTTAGAGTCTACACTCCTCACTCTCTTTCAATTATATGCCTAGTCCCGCAAAAATTTGTCCGCTTATATATTTTCAGCATCATTCATTCCAATATTTATATCCTCTTACCCTCAAAATAACGTTTACAATTTGAAGAGAAGAGTTTATGGGTGAGTTTTTCAAAATACAATTTGTTGTTTGAATTAAAGGGGTATTTTTTTAACAATAGGGGAGACCAGGGCTAGTCGGCGCAAGGGGCTTGTCGAAGGATTTTATCATAAAACCAATAAAGATTAAAAATTGAAATTTAGTTCTAAAATAGAATTCTATAATATCCATAATTGGATTAAAATAGCTATTTAAATTTTTATCCGTTATGACATGTTTTTGACGTAAAAATT